TTGTTATTTTTTAAAAAAAGAAAAAAAATTCATTCAATCTATCATGTTAATTTTTCTACTAATTTTTTTCCTCTACTCACTGCTTAGTTATAATCATAAAATGTACACTTTTTTAGAAAGTCTATAGATCTAGTACATGGCAGAACAGATAAACATATCTAGGCCAAGTTACTGGATCTGAGACTTTTGAAAAACACGATATGTTACATGTAAATATATAAACTGTTCTTCAATATATCAATATATCAATACCAATATATGTGGAAATATGTGGAAATATGTGAATACTGAATTATACAAAAAACAAATTTCTCCATAACAAAAACCCAAACCAAATGTTAGGTAGTTTCACCCCTGAAACAACAATTGTCTCCAAAAACATGAGTCATAATTATAAAAAACATTTTGTATTTTTTTAAATTTTTCAATTGTTATTATTGGAAAATAATTCTAATATCACATTAATGATCATAATCAATTTTTTAAAGCGTTTGTTCAACTGAAATATAAATTCTTAAGTTTTAACATGCATAGGTAATCATATTTTTTTAAATTAAAGTTTATAAGCATTTATTCAAGAAAAATATAAATTCTTACTTGTTGTTATGAAACATTCACATTGAATTTCAACATGTACATCACACAATTATTCTTTTTAATATTGAAATAACACAATGAAGATATATTCATTATGTTATCCATTTTAATTGAAGTTTAACTGGATAGTGCTTTCAATTTTCCACATTTTGAGCAATAATTTCTGAAAAGTGTACAGATTCCATGTAGTCAGGTCAGACACATTACACATTGAATCCAGTCAGATTGCGACTTGTATGTTTTCATAGTTTTCAAAACATTCAATGAAGTTATTTTGACTTGTATCTTTAGAGTTATCCTGTTCATATCTCTCAGATAATTTTACGGGCCAACCTTCAGTTTTGTTTCCTTTAATTTTATAGTTAGGTGGATTATCATTTTCTTCATCACACAAATCAGATAGGTTGTCATCTTTTTCAACGAAAGAATTTTCTTTATTTTGTTTTCTTTTTAAATTTTTGTTGTCTTGCTCTTTATTATTAGAGATTCCTTGCTTTGTTTTTTTGAGTTCTTTGATAGTTTCTGTTTTGTTTTTCTTTTCTAACTTAGTTTTCATTAGTTTTTCTTTTTTTCAGCCACATCTTTCTTGTGTTTTGAATTTTCTTTTTAATTCAAAATATCTGCTGATTGTTTTGCCCTCTTGCCATGGTTAGAGGAATTTTTAGAATAGGTAATGCTTCTATCAGAATTTTTGAAGGTGTTTCTTGTTCTTCGAGTATATCGTTTCCTAAAATCTTTGCAATTGTAGAATCACCAATGTCAACAATACTAAGGAGAAACTAGGAGATTGTCTATTAATTGGAGTGCGTATCGGATTTGGTGGTGTCTTATTTTGTTCATGTTCAAAAATATTTTCTTTTTCATTGTTCAGCCCTAATCGACAAACTACCGAAGCTGAGATTTGAAGTGAAGATGTTTCTTTTCTTTGTTTGGCCACCATAGACTCACGAGATTCTATATTTTCCGAGACATTGGCGAGCTTTGGTTGGCAATCTAACGAATAAGGTGTCCGAAGCTGGGTTGTTGACTTTCGTCCTACAACTTGATCAGGCGCACGAGGAGTGCCAGGATTTTCACTAAACTACCCTGTGCAGTATCTGATGACAGAAATGTTGTATCTGGCAAAGTATTCAGGTCAACTGTGTAAATTCCACTAACTCTAAAGCCACCAAGAGCGTTTGCAGTGGGGGCAGCGCGAATCCAAGCATTATGTATAAGCTTTCCTGCATTGAAACGGCTGATCTTCTTGTTTGGATTCAAATGCATAAATGAATTAGTTTCATTATTAAAATACGTTTTAAATGGCGCAAATACCGATCTGTCTAAAGGCTGTAAGGATGAAGTTGTGTGACTAGGTAAAGACAATAAAGTTATGTCATTATCAGTAGAGTGACCGTCTAAAATCAGCAGAAACTTACCATAGGGCTTCAGAGGTATGAAATGTTCTGTTAACCATTTATAGAAAAGCTCACCGTTTATACATATATGCTGACTTTTTATTCATGAAGACTTTTGAGCCTATTGGAAATCCATCCTCAAATTCAAGTTTTTTATTTACATCTCTTATTATACGAGTTGGTGGGAGGAAATCACCAATGGGCTCATTTGGAACCAGGCGTAATTCCGCATATATTTTATTGCCAGATTGATAGACCGACGGCCTATACATCTAAAGCTCCACCGTTTGTTCAAAAAAAGAAAAAACAAATTTTGTTAAATACTTGTAACGAAGATATCGCTGAAAATCGACGCATGTCTGATGAAGCAGGTTCACAGGAAAAGACCTTCAATGTTGGAATTCAAGTTAATAAACAGGTTTTTCGAAGATCAAAA